GGTGGGACAGGGCTGTGTGTAATGCTATTGAGACATCATCCTCTGTTGATCAGTTCTCTCTGTAGACGAACTGATGGCTGTCCAGACCAACAGGGATGACGTCCTACTCTTAGACCTCACCGCACCATTTGATACAGTGGACCACTGTTATCTCAGATTGCACAATATGTTGGGTCGTAAAGCACTGTTCTAAAATGGTTCCAGTCTTATTTGATGGATAGGCACTTTGAAGTTAATATTGGACGGTGCTCCTCCTCCCCTACTTCACTAACCTGTGGTGTTCCCCAGGGGTTTGTCCTTGGACCAGTTCTCTTTACCTTATACATGGTACCCCTGGGGTCCATACTGGAGAAATATGGGTTCTCATTTCATTTTTATGCCGATGCCTACAAATTTATTAACTACTGAAAGCAAAAAAAGGCACTCTCCCTCTTGTTATTTCACTGTCTGAATGACATTAAATCATGGCTAGCATGTAATTTCTTACATCTTAATCATAGTAAAATTGAGTTTGTTTTATTTGGCAATACTGATTCCGTTTGCTCGTGATCTTGGTCTTTTGCTGTCTTATTCCAAAACCACTCTAAAAGTCTTAGGTGTTTTATTTGATAGTGATATGAAATCTGACAAGCTAATCAGTGCTGCTGTAAAAACTAGTTTCTTGCAACTAAGATTGTTAAGTAAAGTTAAATCTTTCCTTTTAGTGATTTGGAGGTTGCCATCCATGCTTTTATTAGCTCCAGATTAGATTATTGTAATTATGTAATATTCTGGAGTAAGTAAATCTTCACTTACTAAGTTTCATATGGTACAAAATGCTGCTGCATTTTGACGGCTACTTGTAAGTTTGACTGCATTTCCCCTGTTCTCTCCTCTCCGAGCTCTTAGATCAGTGAAGTTTCCTGTTAGTTTCCTAGGGTCAAACGATGTTGTTGGGATGACTGCACTTTTTCTGTAGCAGCCCTGAGACTCTGGAACTCCCTACCTACAAATGTTAGATATGGGTCAGACCTGTCAAAACCTATTTGTTTGCCTTGGCCTATGGTTCTTAGAGGAGTTTGCCTATTCTGTTATTGTTTGTGATCATCTATCTTATTTTGTTTGTTCTTTTTTATTCTGTTCTTTTTTTGTGTTGCTTTTTTGTACATGTGCACTACTTTGGTCAACATGCTGTTGTTTTAAAGTGCTATATAAATACATTTTGATTTGATTTGATAACTTAACATTGCTGTTCTTTCTCTGCTCCTCAGTAATATAGAGTCCATGCGGGAGCAGCTGAACAACCTCGGTCTTTGCTTCAACTGGGAACGGGTCAGTAGAGATTTGGGCATCTTTTAAGACTCACTTGTGCACGACATAGTACACAACTGATCCAACTCTGGTTTTCCCTGATAGGAAGTGACCACCTGCCTTCCAGATTACTACAAGTGGACCCAGTATCTGTTCATCAAGCTCTTTGAAGCAGGGCTGGCTTATCAGAAAGAGGTAGGAACAGCCTTTGTACTGAAGACTTTATGCTGGTTTTCTTTTGGAAGAAATAATATGACAGTTACAAAAGTGACTGAGGCAGCTCATATATTATTGGAAGAAAAAGGATGAACTGCAGAGAAAAGAGCTTGGTAAAAGCCCTTTGATTATGTTTAATGGAATGGGATGGCCTTGAAATAAGCCTTTGGTCTGTCCGTTAAATCCAAGCTACTTGCTAAGCTCTGCACTTTCATTGTATCTGTATTTATGTGATCATTTGTGTGTCTTTGTGCGTGTTATCCAGGCTGTGGTGAACTGGGACCCTGTTGATCAGACAGTGCTGGCTGATGAGCAGGTGGATGAAAACGGTCGTTCCTGGAGGTCTGGTGCTCTGGTGGAGCAGAAGCTGCTCACACAGTGGTTCATCAAGACAACTAATTATGCCAAGGTACAGCTCTTCTGTGTGTGTGTGTGTGTGTGTGTGTGTGTGTGTGCAGTAAATGAGCCCTATATACAGTGACTTCAGAATGTTTTCTGATCCCTTCACTTTTTACACACTTTATTATGTTGTTGATTAAATTTTGAATTTAAGAAGAAGTTTGGAACCACCAGGACTCTTCCTAGAGCCGACTGTCCAGCCAAAGTGAGTAACTGGGCAAGAAGCCACTTTGAGTAAAAGGCCCACTTGGAGTTTGCCCAACAGTATTTAAAGGACTCTGTTAGCGTGAGGAAATAGATTAACCCGTTTAATGAGACAAATCAAACCCTTTGGGCTCAACTTCAAGAACTGCACTTGACAAACACCAGCCACTGCTTGTCACCTGCTATTACCATCCCTGGTTACAACTGAGGGACGGATGAATGTAGCCAAATATGAAAAGATCCTTGAAGAAAACCTGCTCCAGGGTTCACACCAACCGAGGCTGGGGCAACAGTTTACCTTTCAGCAAAACAATTACCTGAATCAAACAGCCAAGGCAACACTGGAGTGGCTTTGGGATTGTCCTCGTGGGACCCTGACAAAGCCTAGACCTAACCCCAGCATCTCTGGAGAGACCTGAAGATGACAGTTCACAGACCTTTCTCAAGAAGACTTGAAGCTGGAATTGCTGTGAAAGGAACACTTTTTTGCAAATGAGAGATGTAAGATTTTGGTTTTTAATGATTTTGCAAAAATATCTAGAAACATGTTCTCACTTTGTCATTATGGATTGTTTAGCGGAGATTAATGAGCAAGTACAGTTTTATCCACTGAAAATGAAATCTATGGCATGATAAAGTGTACAAAGAGTCTGATTACTTTCTGAAGCAACTGTATGTGTGTGTACGTGAGAAGTGGCGTTTGGAACAGCTGGCCAGCAGCTTCGTACGAGCCCAAATCAGCAGCAGAGCCCTCTGATAACAATCATGGCTGACACTTCAGTAGCAGCAGCTACATCACTGACACTCTGGTTCAGAAATCAGACCCCTGGAGACCATCATTTGTAGCCTGGCATTTCCCTACCGAGGCCAGTGGAGTCTGGGTAATAACGCCAGGCACCCTGGCTGACTGATGAGAAGTCTCCACCTTTTTAGCACAGGGGTGATCTGCTGCCCCTCCCGGGCCTATATGAATCGCCCACAGAAAAGAGGGGTTATGCTTTATACATGGCAGCATATGTGTGTACATGGTTTGCACACACACACACACACATATACTGCATAGTCATCCATCGAAAAGAAAAGTATTTGCTTTCATAACCTGCAGGCAGTGAACAGAAATCCATCATTTAAACTTTGAGAAAATCTGTGTCATATTTGGTTTTTAAACATGGTTTTAAACATGAATTAAACTATATATTAATCTGTTCATTATTGGTTTGGTCTGCAAGTTTAAAGAAAATATTTTAAAAAAATGCTCATCACAGTTTCCTAAAGCTCATAATGGAGTCTTCAATTGCCTTGTTTTGTCTGATCAACAGTCCAAAATCAACAAATATTCAGTTTACAATTATATAATACAGAGAAAAGTAGCCAGTCATCTCATGTAAGGAGCCAGAACCAGGGAAACATAGATACTCCTGGTTGAAAAATAACTTGAATTCAAAACAATCTCTTCAATCAGTTCATTAAATACACTTGTTTTATGCTTTCAAAAAGGGTTGGCAGTAAAAGAAGATGCATCTAATTTTTAGTAAGAACTAAATAAATTATGCAAAAACACCAATTTATCCTTTGAAAGTTTGTTAATTTTGTTAGTTTGATTAGAAAAATCACTTTGTCCACGGTCAGGTTTCAGCCGCAGTGCTGTGTCAGAGGTGTGAGTGGAGGTGGAAGCAGCCTACTGTGACAATGTGTTCCAGCATTTCTAATTTTCTCTTGATGAGCAGAGCAGTGAGAAGCAAGAAGGAGGGAGGTGTTAAGGAAAAGAAGTGAGAAAGACAAACGGAGGGAAAGGAGGACCGTGTCAAATCGGAGCATGTCACATTAAAAGCGCTGTGATTGAACAAGAGATTTCCTTCATATGTTGTTCTCTGCTCGCCTGTACATGTGCTCGACTCTGTTAGACAACATTAACTTCCGACAGTATTTATACGGAGAGCGTTTTCCTCATGAATCATTGTTCCTTCCAGGTCACAGCTGACTGCATCTTATTACTGAGATGGACTTCTTGATGTGGCACTTGCAGGATGCTAAATTATAAGACAACAGCGGAAGAGTTTTCAATTTCATGCATAATCACACTAGTTGCCACCTGCCTGTTACATCACGTAAACATCTAAGTGATTCCTAAACTCAGAGCTCTGTTATATTGTTCTACTCCCATGCTCAAATGTTTTGTGTTATTTAGGTGCATTAACCACAGATGACAGCTCAGAAAATTCCTCAGTGTGCATGACTCCATTGTGTAATTTTTTTTTTATCAGAGGTGTACTTGATGTCTCTTTCTCTCACACACAGGCATAATCCTTGGTTATTGCCATACCATGCTTTTTCTCTCAAGTTGCCATGGAGACACATTTCTTTGCTGTACATCTTTTCAGTTCTTCTGTGCCAAGCTATATCTTATAGTCCATGAAAGTAAAAGCATTCACTGTCTGCTTCTTTAAAGTAGGTTCAGTAGTTAACTGTAATTGCTTTTTCTGTTTCTTCTTCGCTGCTGGTAACGTCTTTGATTTGCTGTGTCTTCTCCAAGAGTCGCTCAGTCATGCTGACACACATTATGTCTCTTTTCTCTCACTCTGGAGCAAATCCATAGCTCACACACTCTGCAGTCATGCTAGTGATGACTATAGCTGGTGTTTACATTTGTATTGGTATCGCTGTGATGAGGTGCTGCATGCTGAGCGGCACTGTGAGGGGGATTGTGGGTAGTAGATTGTGACAGACTGAAAAGGAAATGGAGAGTTTTAACGTTTCTGGCCTCGTCCCAGCTGTGGCTTTTTTGGCTTTAGCCTCATTGGTATGCATAGCGTCCTTTAATCACACACAATAGCTGTTGTGTGTGCAACTGCACATGTGCATGTGAGAAAGAGCGTGTGTGCACGCACTATATAGTCGATAAAAAAAATTGTGATATCAAGGAAGGTGGGGTGAGTGGAGTATTTTTAAAAATCCCCTCCTGTCTGCATAATGTGACCTGCTTGGCTCTGCTGCTTTGTCAAAATAAATAGGCTGGACTTTGAAAGAGCTGGAGTCAGTTTTATTATCCCAGACAGTCACATACTGATGAGGAGCTGGTTGCCTCTTACAAAAAATATCTCTCTTCAACAGCGAAGTGGGAAATTAGCTCTTTCCAAATTTGTACAAAGTAGAAAACTTCTCTTTGTTTCCACATCCTTCCTTCAGCCTCTCCTGGATTCCCTAGCAGACCTTCCAGAGTGGTATGGGGTGGAAGCCATGCAGGCGAACTGGATTGGCGAGTGCACCGGCTGCTACTTTGACTTCAAACTCAAGGTGAATCTCAGCTCCCCCCCTCCCCTGCTAACTTTTTATTCATTTTTCATTCTTGCTTTCTTTCAATTGCTGTTTCCACCAACAGTTTCCCAGTTGTTCCCCCTCCCATCTTCAGTTTTTCATCGCCTTCTCCCCAAGGACTGATTGCTTGCTTCAGTTTAGTTTCTTTTATGTCTCTGTTCATTTATGCATTTCTTTTGAACATCAGGTACCAAAACATAAAAATCTTCCCTTCATTGTTCTCAAACAGATGTCACAGATTAGTTTCTGTCGAGTTTCCAGAGAGCCATATTCATGTCTGTTGTGTCAAACTGAGTAGTTGCAAAAAGCCCGCTGAGAACCCTGCAGGCACCCTTATTAATCCACTCTCCTTGGGAAAAAAAAAATCAGAAAAACTGTTACTCAAGTCAGTTCCTTAATTTAAAAAATCTTATCTTATAGAGAAAAGAGAGTTGGAATATGTGGGAGTGCATTTGTGTTTTTGTGTCTTGTTCTTTAAATGGGAGAGCTTTTCTCTGACAGAATGCGTAATTAAAGATAAAACAGGCGGTTTCTTTGGTTGATTGGAGAGCTGCTTGACTTATACTGCAGCATCACACATTGTTACAGCCGCATTTCACTGAATTATACCCCTAAGGGCCTGAAAATAGAACACCAACACAGGAGCCATTAAAGAGCTACCTACGGCACATGCATATATCTCAGTTTTTCATTTATGCTATAAAAATGTAAAACTATAGACAGAGCACTGCTTTGAGCTAAATGCTAATGGCAGCATGCTAACTTGCTCATAGTGACAATGTTAACATGCTGATGTCTAGCAAGTATAATGATTACCATGCCCACGGCCCTTAGTTTTATATATGTATATTTGCTTATTAGCACTAAACACAAAGTGCAGCTGAAGCTGATGCGAATACTTGATTTAATTTAATTAAGTTTCTTTAAATAGCAACATAAAATAATGTACATACATAGTAAGACAGCTGGACAGGATGTGGAAGTCGAAACAAGAGGTACTGGGCATTAGTCATAAACCCAAATATTTTTGGCTAATTTTGACCTGTTGCTGGTGACAGAGGAAACGTTAAGGCATCACCAAAGCTACCTCTCAAGTTTTTTTCATGGCATTCGCCAAATTTTATTTCAGTTCAGTTCAATACAAAATTCCCTCATAACCACAGAATGTCAGCCTAATGACGGTGCTGTGAGAAGATTCAGAGGCTCAGCAAGATAATTAGGACATTAACACAATTAAAGGGAAGTACTCAGTAGCAAAAAGCAAGCTACCCTTTGAATTCATCAGCTTCAGGAATTTTGCAAATATTTAAGTGGAAATATAGATAAAACTATTAATCAGCTTCTTTTACTTTTTGTCCACCAGCTAATGGATGACACAGTTGTTTCAGCACATGCTTTAAATGCTGTGGTGCATAGCTTAACCTGACTGATGACTGATGACCTTGTAACCCGTTTCACATACATGCTGGACATGATATTTTAAAACAAATACATTTGTGTGACTGGGAGAGGAGACAGGCGGCCGACCTCATTATCTGACTTCCACTGACACATGAACACTAGGAGATTCTTATGCTTCTTTCATTATCTGAAAGATGAACGGGGAGGAGACAGGGGAGACTCTGTCAGCCTACAGCTGCCACCCAGAGACGGTGTTTGGGGCAGCTTTCCTGGCCATCCTGCCCTCTCACAGACTGCTACACGGTAGCAGCTGTGTCCGCTCTGCCCTGGAGAAAGCCTTTCAGCCAGGCACAGGTGAGTGTCTCCCCAGACTGACCTTTGTGTTGGGGTCATCTATCATGGTGTATGATTTTGTGAGGAGCAACACACATTTAGACTTTTCCTCATCAGCAACGTGAATAATGATTAATTAGTCTTTTAGGGGTCGAGGTTGCTCACCCCTCTGCACACTGTCAGAACTTGAAAAGGTTCCTCACAAAGGTTGCAATCCTTTGCATATTCTGCATGTTCTTTATTGAAAAGTACCTAATTAACAAAAGTGGTGCCACAGTAAAAAACCAAACCTCAAAAGAAGGAGAAGGGAACTATATGTTTGCCATCTCATTAAAGAGTTGTACTGTATCACCGTTATGGATGTATTCTGGGGACTCTGTGCTCATGTAGATGTGTTTATTTTTATTCATGATATAGTTGTAGTAGCTGTATTTCACCAAGTGCATGTTAATTGGGGTTCCCTTGAAGGTTTTTCTCTCTCAGTGGTGAGTGATTGTTGATAATAAGCTACCAGGGGAAGCAACCCTCCTGCTTATACCTCCTGCCATCTGCTCTCCAGACTCCCTGACAGGGGTTCGTGCTTGCAACCTGTTCACTGGCCACGAGGTTCCCCTGGTCATCTCACGCAAAGCAGCTTTTGATGGTTATCTGGACACTGTAATTGGTGAGTTACTGATGTCTGTGTGTGGAGCTTTCCGAATTGCTTATTAACTGTAATTTGTAAGTATTCATTTATATGTGTTTTCAAGCTACTGTACATAGACGATATAAAAACTAATAAAAATACTTGACCTTTCAATGCAGTCAGCCTATTATCCCAGGGAGGAAGAGATGAAATAAAGATGAGAGATGGAGGAATGTTATAAGAAACATGCAGCATTTTAAAATTCACCATTGTGAAATGTATGGTTGTTGCAGCAATGCTGTTAAACCAGTGGGTGTTATAGTGTGGAGGTGGAACCTGAGGGACTGTTAACCATTAGTCACATGACAACAGGGAGTGTTTTAATAACAGGAGATCTGAAGAGATCAGTTACGTGTATGTGGCTTTGTATGTCTATAATTTTCTTTTTAACTGGGTCACATGTTCATGCTTCATATGTATCTTTCAGGTATCCCAGACTCTAGTGAGGAGGACCTGTCTGTGGCCAGAGCTCTAAATCTGAGTTGGACCATGGTGCTACACACCCATGAAGATGGCACACAAACTCTGATCAACTCTGAGGGGGTGTGTACTGTTGATCATCAGCACACTTTTGATAATGTGGAAACAACTACATTTTGCACGTTTCTCTTATCAGTTTCTGTAGAAAATGAAAAAAGTCATGCTTTCCTATTTTTCATGCTCTTCTTTTTATAGTTCTCAGGCCTCACCAGAGAGCTGGCATTTGACTCCATTACCCAGAAGGCCAGAGAGAAGAGGGTCGGTGGCCACCTTACCAGCTCCAGACTCAGGGACTGGTTAATATCGAGACAGCGTTACTGGGGCACACCCATCCCTGTGGTGCACTGTGGGTCTTGTGGTCCAGTTGCAGTTCCTGAGGAAGAGTTGCCAGTTACTCTGCCAAAGCTGCCATCTCTCACAGGAAAGGGGGCGTCGCCTCTGGAGGCTGCTCAGGACTGGGTGAACTGCAGATGTCCCAGGTGAGAATGTGGCAATGCATTGTTTTTCTTTTTTGTTTTATTGAGATGCCACATCCAGATATAATCCACATATCAGTCCTAAAGATTAAAATATAAAAACAGCATATTTGAAGCCATTGGAATTTTTATAATAGCTAATAGTGATGATAAATTTTCTTTGAAAGGACTGCTAGCACAGTCACCTGCTCCTGTTACAATTTCTTCATGAAGACATGAAGATCAACTTAAATTGGCCCTTCACCAGAGGAGTCAAACAAGTAGCTGCTAATAGTTAGTGTAGATGTACAGTACTCTACAAACAGACCTCTATACTGTATAGTACACTGTTTTCTATCACTGTTGACTGGGTGATTTATTCCTTCCTGACATTAAAATGAATACACAAAAACACAGGAAATGATGCACATCACACACGTGAAAAACCTTCAGCCAGAAACTACTTAACATGGGATCAGAGGCTCACAGACTCAATGTGTTAAGATTTCAGACTTGTGAATTGATTTTGTGTATATATAATTAATGTAAGTATGTACTGTAGCAGCTACTTCTGCTTGTCAGCTGCAGTTCACTGGCTGAGGGCATAAATAATGTATATTAGTTCCAGTTAGAGGTCACCTTGGCTCATAGTCATTGTTAAACTACGAGGTATAGACTTCGCCCAGAAGAGCTAGCTGGTGAAGCTGTATGCAGCCGCAGGCTCATAACTAATAGTAACAGTAACCAGTATGTCAGCTGCAGCTAGAGATTTTCATCTGTAGTGTATTTCTTTTTGAAAAGACTGTCATCAGCATGTCAGTGAATACTCTTCAAAAAAAAAACAAAAAAAAAACACACTGTTCATAATGTTAAATCAAAATCCACCACACAGACAACCTTGAAGAATACCACTCCATGGAAGAGTTTGACATTTTGGGAAATGTGATTTATTTGTTTTCTTACTGAGACACAAAATAAATTTGAAGGGCTGTGAGTTGACTAATAGGACAGGAAAGACAAAATAATTACACAAAAATGCAAATTAGTTTTTTATATTGTTGTTTTCATGGTTTAGCCTTTTCATGCCACTTAATAATTTAAATTAAACTATCTTAAAGCTTTAATATGAAACATTTTCAAAATGATTTTGTATTAGAAACCTGTTTCAAAACCTGTCTTGATGTGGAGATGTGCTGTTGAAGCCCCCAGTGACCCACACTCATTGAACAGCACTGGCAGCAGTGCAGGGATATCTGCTTCTAAAAGGTTTTGAGAAGGAGTGATCTCTCTAACAAATCAGAGAGTTTCAGTTATTTCTGCTCGATCGGTACATTTTGGTGCATTCTCACTTCTTGTAATTTCATAATGATAAATATCTGAAGATCTGGGTAGAGCGTGGTGGAGTGCAGCAGGTTGTAGTGGAGCAGGGAGAGGGAGCGCTGGGCAGAGCGCATATTGGATTGATTTAGAGCTTCATGCTAGTGCTACATAGTGGAACTTTGAGTTAGACGGTAAAATTACTCGTTGATGGATGTGGTCACAACTCATAAGCATATGCAAGATGACATTCCTTAATTTCAAGGGGTCACAAGCCTAAAAGTTTGGAAACTACTAATTTAATCTTGATGTGAAGTAAAATGAAGATGAACATGGAAGGTTCAGGAGCAGGACGATGTCCTTATTACACACCTTTTCCTGCTACCTGCCTATAAATAGTTGCACAATCCCTCTGCAGAGTGCTTTTGTTTCTCATAAACCCTCGCACCCTTCCTATCTATCTTGTCTTTCTCTGTCATCTTTTCTTCCTTTCTGCCCTCCACTTCTTCCCATTATTTTCCCTGCCTCCCATGGGCGCTCCACCACGCCCAAGCATTGCACGGATTCTCCGGAAGCCTTCCCCAAAGTACTCTAACAGTCTCCAAGCAGCATCAGCACACAGCTCCATACACAAGCTCACCCCCTTTATCAGCACCATTCATTGGTGTGGTCCTGACTAGTGAAAACAGTGATTAAAAACAGTGTTGTCTACTTTTGAATATTTACATTTCATCAATAGGTTCCAACAGTATTTGAAAAGTCTTGTCCAAGTAAGAGAATAAATCCCTTAATAATTTCACTTACACATGAAGTGCTTGTTCAGTTGCAGAGCTTGGCGTCCGTTTGCGCAGTGAGCAAACCGCCCCTCTAAAGTGCCCTTCAGCAAGTCACTGAGTCACCACCATCTCCTGAAGCACAGCAACATTAGTGGTGTCCTCTCTCAGCTGTGTGATTCTGCAAGAAGGATGCCAAAAAAGGGTGTTGTTAGAAGTGTTGTTTCTTTTTGTCACAACAAAACGATCTTGTCCATCATAGTGTTTGTGGAGTGGGCACTGAACTAAGTGTAATCCCTCTCTGGTGACTGCCTCTCCTCCATACTTCCTGTATTTCCTCAGGAGACCAGTACCGACACAAATGACTGGTTGTCAGGCGGCTGATAGGACCGACAACTTTACAAGAACACAGAGCACTGAGAGCAGGCCTGCAAATTGTGTGATTAATGCTTCTGTTCTGATGTGGTTATGTAATGAGTGGCATCTGTCATAGGAGCAGCATGAGATGATGAAGGTTACATAAGCCAGCTGTGTCTCAGGGGGAGCACACACCTACTATACATGCGCACACATATTTACCTTTTGTGCACAGACATAATCACACACATAGCTACTGTACCAGCCTGTCATCTCAGTGAATGTGTTTGAAAATGTTTTCAAATGCAGAATGCGTCTCCAGAGTCGGCCAGGGAATTCCTCTCTGAATAAAACTAATCACCGTCATGGCACCATGTTGATTAAAACAGTGGTCTGCTCAGTTGCAGATGGCACAAGCCATCAGATTGTGTTCACTCACTTCCACAGAGCTACTATAATTCCTCCCATCAGCGGTGATTGATGGCTATAATCACAAAGATGTCGTTATCTCCCCCTGCGTTGTTAAGTGTCTCTGGAAATTTTGTTCTCTTCACTCGCCGACTATATCCAATTAAAGTTTGAGTGGAACACAGACGAGCTGGATGATGAGAGATGGGCGGAAGAAATGGGGTTTTATCTGTCCTTGAGGAAGTCATTTCCTGTATGCTCATCTCATCTCCGACCCTTGCAGCACTGAAAATTGGCCTACCAACCGAACCCTGCCCGGCAAGGAGGGTGTGCAGTCATGCAGTGGTGGAAAGTAACTAAGTACATTTGCTCAAGTACTGTACTACTGTTGTATGAATTAAATCAAAATCCACCACACAGACAACCTTGAAGAATACCACTCCATGGAAGAGTTTGACATTTTGGGAAATGTGATTTATTTGTTTTCTTACTGAGACACAAAATAAATTTGAAGGGCTGTGAGTTGACTAATAGGACAGGAAAGACAAAATAATTACACAAAAATGCAAATTAGTTTTTTATATTGTTGTTTTCATGGTTTAGCCTTTTCATGCCACTTAATAATTTAAATTAAACTATCTTAAAGCTTTAATATGAAACGTTTTCAAAATGATTTTGTTTTAGAAACCTGTTTCAAAACCTGTCTTGATGTGGAGATGTGCTGTTGAAGCCCCCAGTGACCCACACTCATTGAACAGCACTGGCAGCAGTGCAGGGATATCTGCTTCTAAAAGGTTTTGAGAAGGAGTGATCTCTCTAACAAATCAGAGAGTTTCAGTTATTTCTGCTCGATCGGTACATTTTGGTGCATTCTCACTTCTTGTAATTTCATAATGATAAATATCTGAAGAGCTGGGTAGAGCGTGGTGGAGTGCAGCAGGTTGTAGTGGAGCAGGGAGAGGGAGCGCTGGGCAGAGAGCATATTGGATTGATTTAGAGCTTCATGCTAGTGCTACATAGTGGAACTTTGAGTTAGACGGTAAAATTACTCGTTGATGGATGTGGTCACAACTCATAAGCATATGCAAGATGACATTCCTTAATTTCAAGGGGTCACAAGCCTAAAAGTTTGGAAACTACTAATTTAATCTTGATGTGAAGTAAAATGAAGATGAACATGGAAGGTTCAGGAGCAGGACGATGTCCTTATTACACACCTTTTCCTGCTACCTGCCTATAAATAGTTGCACAATCCCTCTGCAGAGTGCTTTTGTTTCTCATAAACCCTCTCACCCTTCCTATCTATCTTGTCTTTCTCTGTCATCTTTTCTTCCTTTCTGCCCTCCACTTCTTCCCATTATTTTCCCTGCCTCCCATGGGCGCTCCACCACGCCCAAGCATTGCACGGATTCTCCGGAAGCCTTCCCCAAAGTACTCTAACAGTCTCCAAGCAGCATCAGCACACAGCTCCATACACAAGCTCACCCCCTTTATCAGCACCATTCATTGGTGTGGTCCTGACTAGTGAAAACAGTGATTAAAAACAGTGTTGTCTACTTTTGAATATTTACATTTCATTTCAATAGGTTCCAACAGTATTTGAAAAGTCTTGTCCAAGTAAGAGAATAAATCCCTTAATAATTTCACTTACACATGAAGTGCTTGTTCAGTTGCAGAGCTTGGCGTCCGTTTGCGCAGTGAACAAACCGCCCCTCTAAAGTGCCCTTCAGCAAGTCACTGAGTCACCACCATCTCCTGAAGCACAGCAACATTAGTGGTGTCCTCTCTCAGCTGTGTGATTCTGCAAGAAGGATGCCAAAAAAGGGTGTTGTTAGAAGTGTTGTTTCTTTTTGTCACAACAAAACGATCTTGTCCATCATAGTGTTTGTGGAGTGGGCACTGAACTAAGTGTAATCCCTCTCTGGTGACTGCCTCTCCTCCATACTTCCTGTATTTCCTCAGGAGACCAGTACCGACACAAATGACTGGTTGTCAGGCGGCTGATAGGACCGACAACTTTACAAGAACACAGAGCACTGAGAGCAGGCCTGCAAATTGTGTGATTAATGCTTCTGTTCTGATGTGGTTATGTAATGAGTGGCATCTGTCATAGGAGCAGCATGAGATGATGAAGGTTACATAAGCCAGCTGTGTCTCAGGGGGAGCACACACCTACTATACATGCGCACACATATTTACCTTTTGTGCACAGACATAATCACACACATAGCTACGGTACCAGCCTGTCATCTCAGTGAATGTGTTTGAAAATGTTTTCAAATGCAGAATGCGTCTCCAGAGTCGGCCAGGGAATTCCTCTCTGAATAAAACTAATCACCGTCATGGCACCATGTTGATTAAAACAGTGGTCTGCTCAGTTGCAGATGGCACAAGCCATCAGATTGTGTTCACTCACTTCCACAGAGCTACTATAATTCCTCCCATCAGCGGTGATTGATGGCTATAATCACAAAGATGTCGTTATCTCCCCCTGCGTTGTTAAGTGTCTCTGGAAATTTTGTTCTCTTCACTCGCCGACTATATCCAATTAAAGTTTGAGTGGAACACAGACGAGCTGGATGATGAGAGATGGGCGGAAGAAATGGGGTTTTATCTGTCCTTGAGGAAGTCATTTCCTGTATGCTCATCTCATCTCCGACCCTTGCAGCACTGAAAATTGGCCTACCAACCGAACCCTGCCCGGCAAGGAGGGTGTGCAGTCATGCAGTGGTGGAAAGTAACTAAGTACATTTGCTCAAGTACTGTACTTAAGTACAACTTTAAGGTATTTGTACTTTGCTTGAGAGTTCCCATTTTCTGATACTTTATATTCTGAATTTACTACAGTTTAGAGGCAAATATTGTACTTTTACTGCACTACATGTATTTGAAAATTTTAGTTACTTTTCAGAATCAGATGAATAAAGCAAAATACAGTATGATCCTAAGAACTTATTGGGGGAAATTCACAACCTACCCATCAGTAAATCAAATAACAAGCATACAAGGTAATTATAATTAGCTCCACCTTTACCAGTGGCAACATTAAATGTGATGTATACATTAACGCAGCAGTAATTATAATGCAATATATGATATACAATAATGTGTAATGTGCCGTTCTTCATAATGAGTACTTTTGGTTCTTTAAGTATATTTTGATGGTAATAATACTGCATTTTTACAGTCGTACTGCTGCTTTTACTTAAGTAAAGAACCCAAATACTGCACACGTGTTTGTGAATTTCCAGGTGCTAACACCCAGTTAGCACCTCACTCGCAGTCAGGCAGACACACAGCAGATGGAGGGCTATTTTTCCATGAGGAGATAGCCTCTGTGAAGAGGGCAGCTGCCTCTCTTGCCTCATCTGTTTGAGAGCCTTCTGCCTCACTCTGGTTCATCCTGTAAACACACAATCACAAACACACACTCATGCACACAGGTTGCTTCAGGCAACCTAGTTTTGTTGTTAGACCTTTCATTGCTTAAGGAAGGGTCGTCTCCAGAGCATGTGTGTGTCGTCTCATCTGATTCTTCGAGTCTGCATGTAGATTGTGCCAGCCGTCTGTCAAGGGATCACAGTCTGGCCTGTGATTGGCTAGTCTGGTGTGAGAGAGGAGCTAAATTATCTTACTTGCTCAAGTAGAAGATTTGTATACTAATTTCCTTTCTCTGTTTTGTGAAGTTTCTATTTTTGGATTCTTTTGTGATTGTAGGGGCCTTGTTGTATTGCTGGGCTTTCATCAAATTAAATAAAACTTACAAATATTAACCTTGCTACACCTTAGCCGTGTTGCTAGGCAACCTTCAGCTCTTACCTCATCATCACAGTCTTAATATAGACTGGTATGGTTGCTGGTCAAGGAGTTTCTCCTCTTGATTTGTGTATGTCTTAGAGAGTGTGAGATGAAATACACTTGAGAGATGAATGTTTGTGTGAATGAAATGAGAGACAGAGAAAACAGAGTTACCCCTTAAGGTGCAGGAAACAATACCTGATCTGCAAAGCTCAGAGCTGCTCCTCTGTTTATCTTTGCGGGACACTCCTTTGAGACTCATTATAAAGTAAAGAGCAGACACTTTCACTGTTCCATTAAGTGCTTTTAATCAGAAAAAAAAAAACTTTCCAAAATATTTCTGTCCGTGCATCTCTGCGGTTGTCCTCTCCTCCCCTCTAAAAGTGATGTTGGCAGATTTTCATCACTTACCCAAGTGCTGTTTGGCTTGGATCGAAAAGGACGTGAGGTGGCATTTCCAAAACAAACACATGATCATGTGTTCAGCCTGCCAGTTCGTTCCCTGTTAGCACAGCCTGTTAGGCAGGGCACGGGAACAGAGCTCCGGTGCCAGTCTGGCTTCAGCTGTGCTTCTCTACGGGGACATGACCCCAACAGCCAGATGGAGCCACCATTACACTCACACATGTAATGTGCAATTTCTATATGCATAGAAACGGGGATTGTTCATTTGTTCGCTTTCTGAATTGTTAGGCTAATATTGATTTTCTTCTGACAGATGTAAGGGTCCAGCGAGGAGGGAGACTGACACCATGGACACATTTGTGGATTCAGCCTGGTATTACTTTAGATTCACAGATCCTCATAACACAGACAGGTATGAGCAGCCCCCCCCTCCTCAGATTTCACTTTGCTGTTTGTTTGAATAAAAATGAAATGAAGAGAAAGTTGCACAAAGAATGTGAATTCTCTTTGTAATCTCTGCTGTGTAAAAACACTCATTTTTCTCTTTTGTCTTGCTGCTTGCTCACCGTAAGATCAACCACTCTCTCCCATTTACTCATTTCAAACAAGGATATACTGCCTGTGTACACACTCTCACACATGCACACACTTACCTGAAGGTTGTATTCCCTGCCAGCAGAGATTATGGAGCCATAGCTGTCACTTGCTGGGATGGTGGCGATATCCTGACTTTAACAAAAGAGATTAATTACCCAGTGCCCTGACCTAGGTGTAAAGCTGCTTTAAAAGGGAGAAGGAACTGCCCTCCCCATCACTTTTCTAAGTGGGACAGATTATGGCACAACAGAAAAAGCAATTACACTATTTGTGCATTTCAGCTGGACTGCTGAGCTCTATGTGCACAAGGGGAAATGAGAATAGAAAGCAGGAGAGGCTGAGAATACCCGAAAAGAGGAAGGGAATGGAAACAGGGTGTTGTATGGAACTGTATATGTGTTATGTATTAGAGTTCCCTGGCCCGGTGCCAACAAACAGGCTAAATTATTTTCAGCCTTATAAGCTGATAACTGTTTTCCATGGTTCAATTATTCAGAGACATCATGAGCCAGAGAGGCAGAGAGGTGTGGAGGAGAGTAATGACTGGTGCGAAAGGTGACGCACAGAGATAGCAGTCTGCCCCAGAAAGCATCATGACTGTAGGAGGAATCCCTGCCTGTGCTGACCGTCATGTCAGCCACACCAGCCACATGCTGGAAACAGGCTGTCTAATTTAATCTCAGATACATTTTCACATAACTGTTAATACATGAAGCTGAGTAGAGAGGAAGTCATCAGAGCTAATATTTAAACACGCATTACTGTATTATGTTTTTTCTGTGAGCGTGAAGCCAGTGAGACAGAGGAGGCTTCACGATGCTTCTGTTAGCTTCATCCCTGGATCCTTGTGTGTCAGATTCAGCCTGCCCCCTAGAGGAATTGTGTATGCATATGTACCAAATCACGTATTGTAACAGTCACTGCCATCTGACAAATGATTTCTAAGAATGCATTGTACATTTTTATATAAACAGAGGTCTGCTTCACTACAAACAGTAATAATAATAATAACTTTATTCATAAAACACTCTTCAACACAGTGCTTTACATGGGAAAGTCTGTTAAACCCCACAATTAGATTAAGTCAGGCCAATATAAGTTCAGATCATAAAATAAAAGGAAATGGACTACAATCAAAAAAGCTAAAAAAAAATTCATACTAGAACTGAAACATTAAAACTCAGGGGTGATGTTAATAAAAGGCCATACAGTAAACATTTGCTGTTTCTAAATATCTGGATCCTGTTTTCTGGAAAGAAAAACAAATTCTCTGGAACAGGAAGTCCTGCATTTGGTATTAACAGAGGCAGTCGTTTCTTTGGATTAAATCAAAGAAAACTGAATTAGTTCAAATGAGCAGAGAAAGACTTCATGAACGAACACACACAAAATATTTCATCATCAGAAAAGAAGGGAAGAAAGAGGTCATAGTACTTGTGTGACCTCAGGGACATGCTGCAAAAAAACAAGCCCACAGAAAAGACCATTTCACTGTGCATTCAAGCATCTTGTAGTTTCCCCTGTAGACATGTGAATTTCTTCATATATTAACTCAGAATTGCTCTTGATAAATTTGGTTAGACTCATGAATTCATTGAGAGGTTTACAGTTCCCAGCCTTCCTGAAACTGTTCTTCCTCTCCAGGCCTTTTGAGCGCCACCTAGCAGATCACTGGCTGCCAGTGGACGTGTACATCGGAGGGAAGGAGCATGCTGTCATGCACTTGTACTATGCTCGCTTCCTCTGCCACTTTTGCAAAGACCAGGGTCTTGTGGCTCACAGGTACAGTGCACAGTGTTTTATCTGCTCTTGTTGTACCTGTATATTTTCTGTGTTCATGTTAAGGAGCTCTGTTTCTCTCTTTCAGGGAGCCTTTTTTTAAGATACTGGTCCAAGGTCTGATCAAGGCCCAGACTTACAAACTGGCAGACAGCGGGCAGTATCTAAAGAGAGAAGAAATAGACTTCACAGGTACACACACATGAATCTTCTGGCTATTTGCTAGTGTGACACATCTGGAGCACAGGAGAAAGGAGCAGCCTCTCTCAGATTTGTGCTTTATAGCTTTTCCCAGATGAATGACATGTTAACCAGCTGCTCTTGACAAAAATCAAATTATAAGAAATCCTCTGAAGAGACCCCAGAGGCCCCTTACCATTAGACTCCCAAGGATTTCCATATCCTCTCTTGGTAATGGGATAAACAGGTGTTGACTAGGCCTTACATATTTTTCTTAAGGGCCAATAAGAAACAATGAAATGACAGGTATTAATTAAAATAGTTACAATGGAATTTAGCAACCTAACAGTGAAATTAATATCATTTAAAAAGCAAGGAGGTATCTGAAAGAGTATGCCTCTCTGTGCAGCTGTCTCTGATCTCTGGCTCCTAAACTGTCTCTAGATGAGGAGCCAGTGGCGTTGGGCGGTGGTCGTATTGAGGTGACGTGGGAAAAGATGAGCAAGTCTAAACACAATGGCCTGGACCCCCAAGAGGTGGTGCAGGAGTATGGCGTGGACACAGTTCGATTGTACGTCCTTTACGCTGCACCACCTGAACAGGACATCCTCTGGGATATGAAGAGTGAGTCGAGACACTACTGCAAAATTACACTGACAGCTTGAGTTCTTCATAAGCATAATAAGTTACGAGCAATGCTGGAGGATGTTAGTTGTGTGGCTTTAAGTATCAGAGACATGCCATGAATTGTTTCCTCAAAACAAAATGGTATCGGTGTTTTCAAATTAAGGAAACTTCAATATTGAAAAGATGTTTTTCCTGCATTGTGTCAAAATATTCTTTTCATCTGTGTCTGTGTTCCCCACCTCAGCGGATGCACTCCTAGGGGTTCTGCGATGGCAGTGTCGCCTGTGGCAGCTGGTGACAAAGATGAGGGGGGCGCGGCAACTCGGAGACTTCCCCAACCCTTCTCTGCTGAAGAAGAAGGAACTGGCAGAGGCCAGAAAGATCTGGGAGAACAAGAACTATGCTGTTCAAGAGGTACAATAGCAATTCCCTAACCTCAGACTGACTGGTCTTGAATAAATATGACTGAAAATGTCTCATGGTGACATTATATAAGAATGAGATATTGCAACAGTCGTGACCACTAGGGGTCATGAATGGGCCCATTTTCAAAATCTCAAGTTAGTGTTCATCTTCACTGAGTAAAATAGGTGATTCACGCTTTTGCATCCGTCACTTTAGTCAATTTTGAATTTAATTTCTCTGCTAGTACCAGTTATCTGTGGTTGTTTTTAATGTGCAGTGTTACATAATTCATTTCCATTATCTTTTTAACAATGGAGTAGGTTGTGCTGAAACCATAGTAAGATGTTTTTTCTCATTTGCAAGGTACTGTATGGTAGTATGGTCTATGGTAATATGTCATTCATTACATAGCCCAGCATTGCATAGCTCTGAGTTCCAATCCTGTACATCCATTGCAACCTGAAGCCCTCAGAAAAGAGCAAGAGAAGAAGGGGATGGAAATTGATTTTAAATCCACTGCATCTCCTTTTACACTTTATAAATAGCCTCCTTTGGCTGCCAGGTGTGATGTTCTCTCTCTACCACTCAGGGCCGATGCTTTTAAAGGGACCTCAGGCTGTTTGCAGTAAGCCCCCAAACCTGAGACCCTCCTTTGATTTATCCCTTGGAAAAGCCTCAGTTATTGACCTCCTCCTCTCTAAGGCCATTCATCAATGGGTTCTTCTTCCTAGAAGGCTAAGTAGGGGAATACTGACATGATGTGTGCCTTCAGCTGGTACACATGGTGATAACAAGGACGAGGCTGCATTGTTTTCTAATAATCTTTAGGGGCAGACTCAAAAATCCTCCATGATACACTCAATCCGTCTGAAAACACCGTCATGTGTTGATTTTGTTTGTCGGTATTTTCAGGTGACTTCTTCCTTTACAGAGGACTTCCTTTTCAACGCAGCCATTTCTCGCCTGATGGGACTTACCAATACACTGAGTGTGAGTGTGCCCTCCAGTAGCTAGAAATAGAAATGTCACAATGTTGTTTATTACTGATCACACTGAAAATAACATTTTTACCATTTTGTGTGTGTGTGTATGTGTGTGTGTATGTGTGTGTGTGTGTGTGTGTGTGTGTGTGTGTGTGTGTGTTCAGAATGCAACAGTCAGAGTGATGCAGCACAGTCTGGAGTTTGAGGAGGCCCTGGCTGTGCTGGTTATGATGACAGCACCCATGGCTCCTCATCTTGCTTCTGAACTATGGGCAGGTTGGTGACATGCAAACTATTCACAAATATAAACTACCTACTCCTGCACATACTGTTTGCACTCTTAGTGAAGTGGCTGGCAGGAGGAAATGTTAATGGGGAAAACTGAGCTGCCATGTTAATGTCCAAATGTCCATGGCTAATTTTAGATGCTCCTATTGTACTAATTTGATCTACTTGTTTTAGATTTTAAATTTAAATTGGATCTCCTCAATGAGGATGAAGTTTTATACAGGCATAGTGACAAAAGTGTGTCATGTTTGTGGTAAAACCAGATTATTTGTAATGTCTATTAGGGGAAGTTAACACAGATGAATGCAATGTTGACACTGCCGCTTGTCTAATACCAGCAAACATGCAGTGGTCATGTAATCAACAGTTAAGAGACACAGCTCTGTAGAACATTTTACCTGAAATACTCACTGTCCAGCAAATGAAACAGAGAGCAGTATTAGGAGCTGTTGACCTAGTGTTGAAAACTATAAGGTTAAAAATATAGGGTGGGCCACAGAAAAGTAGCCCATGTACTCGAGAGCGTATTGGAGGCGGGCTACTTTTCCGTGGCCCACCCTGTAAAAACAGTATGGAAGACCTTGCCTCATTCATTGTGCCTCACTTGGAAGCTTGCCCAGTAGCCAGAGTCGAGAAAACCTGACAGATAATTGCTTGAAGGAAGGTGTGTATGTTTTAATAAGTGGCTCGTGTGCCTTTTAGTTGTTGTCAAAAGTAGTTTCAAAACTTTTTTATAAACAGGACGTACAAGCGAGGGATGTGACCTCCTCTGCACTCGGCCATGTTGTACTTTTCAATCTCACTCGTTTGTAATTTTACACACAAAGCAGGATAGAGGAAGTTCACATCCTTCCCTTCTGCCTCCAGTGGGATGTATGCTTGGTGGTTTAACTGAGAGAAAAGACAACCCTAGCTAAGGCTGACAGCGATGGTGTAATGACTGGCTGACAGATCCTCAGCATATGAGACCTTCTCCTGAGTGTCACAGCAGGTGATTTATTTCCTCCCCCAGGTCTTTGCCAGGTGAAAAACCCCCTTAGCCACCTCCTCCTGCGGGGAGGAGATGTCATGCAGCAGCCCTGGCCGACTGTGGACCCCAAGTACCTGGAGCTCCCTGACTTTGTGGAGCTGTCTGTATTGGTGGGCTCACATAGACACTCTCAGACATGAACACATGGACACACTCAGTCAGTACACGACACCTTCAGTCTTGTGAATGTCCTTCTTTTTGTTTTGTGCAGGTTTGAACAATTTTTAATTTTGAAGATAAGATGTATTTGCTCAGCAACAGCCCATTGCTCATTGTGTAATTACATACATTTAATAGTAGGTATATGGACGCATCCTCTGGCATTTTCACTCAAACTCTCTTCTCTCCCTAAGTCTTAGGTCCATGATTACATTCATAGTCTGCAATTTTTGAGAGAGCTTATAATTAGCCTGAATGTGTGCCTGTCTACGTGTGTGTGTGTGTGTGTGTGTGTGTGTTTGCATAACCAGTGGTGTGCTTTAACCTAAATAGACAAGTGGCTCAGTAATTAAGAGCCAGAAACGGAGCCACCGTGTTATTCCTGACTCACTGTTACTCCCTCACTCTCATTTCTTGTGACTTTTTTCTGCCTGTATGTCATCATCTGGAATGAAAGTGTGTATGTTGAGTTTGTGTGTACTTTCAAAGGTGTACAGACGGTCAGAGGGAACATCTGCCTGTGATGGGAAGGGTCAGAAAAGCTCAAACTGTTTTACTCTGTTTGCTTGGTCATATTCTCTGAAAGAGCCCTCTACTGTTGTCACACACACATACACGTGATGTGCAATGACAGAAAACAGTCGGCTGACTAACACTGGTGTTTTGCCGGTTGGATTCTCTCTGTGTCCTCTGACAGAGAGACAAAAAAAGACAATGCAGAAGTGAAAGCAACATGGGGTGTACCGTGTGTATGTGCATGGACTTTTATAGTGATATTTGTGAGGACCGGTTTCAATTTTTAACCATGGTAGTGAGGACATTTCATTGTGAAGCCACTACCTGAACTGTTTGAAGGCTGAGCTTTTAGGTTAGTGTTAGAATTTGTTTTAAGTTTAGGATGAGGGTTGGAGTTGGGCATTAACATTACATACAGAATGTCAGTTAAAGTCCTCACAAGTATAGAAAGACTACTCGTGTGTGTACAACTTTGTTACCTTCGTGTTCATTTACATTTTATTTCTGCATGCTTATTTACGTCTTGCACATCTCTCATACACAGAATCCATTAAACTTCACATCCCCTCTCCCCTAGACATTAACATACACACAAAAACATACATTACATTTGTCTGAGCTCCCAGTGCTGCTGCTGAAGTTGTTTTTACTTCAGACTGAGCTCTGTGTTGTGGCCTTTCTCAGCCCTGTGGAAGCAACCGCACTCCCTCTATCCTCTAATCATGTACTTGGGTTTGTCCCAGAACGGAGGACGAGGCTGAGCAGCCTGAGACATACACACGGACGCACACATGGACACACACCCCCATTAATTTTCAACCACTTCCAGAGACATGATCACATACACACATACACTTGCTTCCAAACATACAAGGCTGAGGGCCCTTCCCATGCATGCCACTAACTATGTGTTTTAAAGGTTTCACTGTATATGTAGAAAAAGAGGTGGAGTCTCTTATTTTAGGACTGTGATGCCAGGAGGAAGAGTTTGGGTACAGACAGGGTGGAGCTTTTCTCAGACTGAGATGTGGAAAACGTCTGACAGAACGGTGTAGTAAATTCATTCATTCATTGCTTAATTGTCACCCTCAGATCAACAACGAGGCCTGTGGGACAGTGACGGTGCCGCTGCATGTGTCCAAAGACACAGAGAAGGTGCAGCAGCTGATCCTGGAGAGCCCGCTCGGACAGGAGCGTCTCAGCCAGCGCAGCATCAAGCGAGTCATCGTCTCTCCCAGAACCACCCTCGTCAACTTCCTCATTGAAGAGTGACAGTTGGGCATTCACCACTGCTTTTGCAACTGGAAAATAGTTGTGAAATCTAGTCAGTCACCAGTTCAGCACAGAGAGAGGCAAAAAGAGGTGAACGTATTTTATGTCAAATGCAGGCTGTCTGATATTAACTGTCAGAACTCTATGTAAATATGTCTAAAGACATTTTATTTATGTTACCAGTTTTTAATAAAAGAATCTATGGGTTTCCTCTTTGTTCTTTGGTATGTTGTATAAATTGCCAAGTGAGATTTGGCACCTGTTTCTTTTACATTATCTCCTATTTCGTTAGAACCTCTTGACAATCTCTCATGAGCCCAGACACTACTTTAGATTCCAGTCATCATTCCCCCCTTCACCTTCCTCCTTTTCTCCCGTAACACTCCTATCATCATCACACCCAGACCCACAGCTTCACACCTCTGCAGCTGCCTGTCTGCTCGGTGTCTCGGCCTAGTCACGCACTCATGATCTGCTTTATCAGTGTTTGTCTCCACCTCTGTTGCTGCTTTTAGCTACAGATCTCTTCTGAGCACCGTACATGGGCCACTGTTTGTCTGTTGGAGGTAACTACAGAGCCAGACGTGCTCTGGGGTTTTCAACCTGCCACCACATTGTGTTTGTCCATGGCTGTTCCATACCTATTCACCAGCTTGATGTGTCCATCTCAACGCTGGGCCAACATGACTCAGCCATTAGCACTGTCCTGACAACACTGAAATGTATCTGTGTACACCCACCAGGCCTGTCTTTTTAAAGGCTGGGTGAGTAAGCACTTACATTATTATGTACCATCATTTGTCTTAAATGACTTGAAATGCGCATGTTGCTAGTTCCTAAATTTTTGATAGCTGCATAAGAAGAGTATGATGTTTTTCTCGTATCAGTGCGTGAATGAACAAGGAGCGTGATCTCTGAGAACTTGGATACATGTCAGTTTTGCAAGGTCAGCTTCTGTTTGAGGAAGTGCTTTTATTTTTCTAGCATACATGATTTGATTTGATTTGATTTATTCTTTCAAACATGTAACAACAGTCAATATGTCAACACACATAATTCCACACATATCCACAAATATATTATCTATTTGCTTATACATAGTACATGCTTGAACGGAGTAGGAAGAAGTTAGACTTATCTAGTCCTACCCCCTAAATGATCAGCTTGTAACTGATAAAATGGTATACTTCAATGTTTAAGTAACAAAGGGTTTGCTTTTAGTAAAATGTGGTGAAATCTATGCAGAAAAAATAGGGCATTCCTTACTGATGCACCTAACCTTTTTGCATATTTCAGTGCTGTATCTCTGACCATCAGCGGACAGGAAAATGCTCACAGGAGAGACAGAATAACAGGAAGAGAAGCTAGAATAAGAGGAGGGGAGCAGAGCCAAAGCTCTGTTGCTTATCCTTGCTATTATCTCAGATTCTGTGGATTTTTCTCTAAGCCTTAGCACAAAAAGGAATGCTAATTTGTGAGTACTAGTCCAAGATAGAGGGTCATTTTTAATTCTGTCACCTCACACTTGTGTGTGCCACATTTTCGTGCACTCTTTTAACCTGGCTCTATGAAATAAGTATTATTCATGGAAGTTTTTAACCCCTGATCGCTTCCTTCTTTTTGTGTTATTGCCACAGCTCTTTTCACTTTGTCGCCTAGTAGCGCCTGCTCATAAACAGGTCTGAACTTGAACTGGCCTGAACAAAAAGCTGAAGTTGCTGTGTCACTGAAAAGAGCAACACTGAAGCCAGGGAAAGTTTCCCAGTCTGAAGTTACTAGTATAAATAAATAGATACCTAGGATATTTCTGAACAGTGTTTTTCTAAAGGAGGTCTGATCTGCACTGATGCATGTCCTCTAATAATTAATGTTGTCACTGACAGCCCCTGGAGTCAGTTAACACTTTTCGACAGCTCTGCAGTTTCCATGACGACTAGGGTTATACAGTAGGAAACAGTATAACAATGTGACTCACTTTCCCTTCAGAACACATTTGCAGTCTTTCTTAACATGAGATGCACAACTTGATTTGTCTTTGAATAAAAAAAAAATCAGTCCCTCTTGAGAAACTCTGCTTGCTTGAAAAAAAAAAAAAAGGGTGGAGTGCACAGCGCAGTTACCATCACCCTCCACTGCACCGGTCCATTCCCTGGACTGGGCTGTGTATTCTCACAGGGGGATGCAGTAATGCCACAGCTCATTATCTTGCAGACTGACCTCAAGGCTGGTAATTTGGTCATCCATGGATGTTTCTTGTGTGAGCTCATTATATAAGCAGATTTTCACTAGTCCTTTAATTGTGTTGAGGATAAAGATGAACTCTCAGCATGTATGTGAATGCACCGCAGTTGCCAGAGTTAATCATTTATTGACTATACAGTTTCCTTTTAGCCATTTTGGCCTTTTGTGATTGTAAAACAGGTCATGGCCAATGCTTTGCACAAGAACACTCACACAGGAGGTATGTTTTGCTTTCAAAAGGACATAGTGTATATACAAAATATCCTTTTGTTTATATAGACTGTATGTAGTCCTTTCTGCATATAAAATTGCGTGAAAGTTATTAGTAATATTTTTGGATGTACTTTCTGAAATAAATTTGTTATAACCATCAATCCAGAGCTACTGTTGCGATGCAATTAGCACACAGTCTGTAGCTGCTACGGAGTAAACACCTATTGCTACTCTATTTGAATTAGACTCAGTTTGCATGTACTTTTATGCAAATGTAATTGCCCTAAAGTAAAACAAGCTGGCTCCTAATCAACTGCCTAAGGATAGCGGGTGTTGTATATTGTGATTTAATGAATACGACTGACTTGCTTGATAGCAACAGACATCCCTATGCCTGGCATCATTAACATCAAAATTATGTGAATGTGACATTTGATATTACCTATACTGCCCACACCTTAAGATCTATTAGTAAAAATTAAGGCGCAGAGTGCTTGAAGACTGAGATAAACTTTTAATTGTGTTTTTTCCCTTTATGAGGCATTAACGACACAAAGGGACCTATTAACATAACTGGAGAAACCAAATGATCTCAAAATTTTTCAAACCCCAGCTGTTATTATTAGCACATGTTTGAATTAAACTCACTCCACTTCACTGTTGCATGAAGTAACTGCAAAACACACGAACACTTTATTGTTAAAGATGAAATTATCATTCTCTTAAAGTTGAAATCAGAAAGTCAGTCACAAAATATTATACACCTTTTTTTCTACTTGCTCAAATGTTTATTATATTACATGCAATCACAGCTTCTTACCTCCTGCATCATTTATTGTACATATTTGATAAACATCTCAGCATTGGTTTGCATGTGTGAGTTTTGTGTTTTACAGTTTCAGTTTTAAAGCGATATTAGCCTCAGCTGTTTTTAGCCAATATACAGGAAATTGCAGCAGCACATGTAGAAGATATACTGTAGATCAGTAGTTAGACAGCTGGGCACATAGGCTGGGACACAGTTACCTTACCCTTTTCTGTTTGAATGTGATCAAGTTGTCTGTGGGTTTTGTAACAATATTAGCCTTGGTTGTTTTCAGTGACTGTATTTAACAATGAAGTAAAGCAAATTAAGCCTCCTGCTAGAAGGAAATGTTGTATTATGGTGAGTGTTTCTAGATGGATATGATTTATAAATTCTGTTTTAATTGCAGCACAGACAGCAGCCTAGAGGCCCCCTGAACATACTGCCGCCATATTTTTTGTTTCATGTATTCACTGGGAGATTGAGCCTATGAATTCATCCCCAGATCCCATTGTACCCCAACTGTCTCATATAATGCAGCCTGAGTCAGAACACAATGTGGAGGGGTCACAGTGTGTGTGTGTGTGTGTGTGTGTGTGTGTGTGTGTCTCATGAGCAGCATGAATGTGTGACATCATTCAGCTAAAACAGAGGGGCGAAGGCACTGTAAATAGTTTCCCTTTGTCAAAAGTACAAAACACCCATACAATTTAGTTTTAGGTATATGGGTTTGTTCCACTGCATATTGTTTATGGGTTGTGGGAAAACTTTTAAAATTTATTTGTCAGAGTGATGTAGATTTGAATTGCTCAGTTTATACAGGTGATTCATAAACAAATGGGCTATGTACAGTATGTAACTGCCAGTAAACATTGTAGGTGTCAGCTTAAAACATTTGTGCCTTAAATAGTTACCCATCCCCCACTTCCTTTACTATTTAGCTATTTATATATTGTCTTTCTCTCTTACCAAGTATTCAGATTATTTATTAAGGTAGAATAGAAATAGCACAATTTAAAAATGCATTGCATTTATAGAAATCATGCAATGGGAATGTTACTCAAGTTAAAATATCCTATTAGTTGGCTTATTCTCTCATTATATTCTTATATATT